CCTCCACCATTAACCACTGGGACCCTTCGCTTCTCTGCTACCCCTCCTCACTCTCCCCTTCTAGCAGCCTCAATTCTACAGTTATAAGTCTAGGGCTTATTTTGGTTTAGTTTTGTCTGTTCCTTAATTTTGTTTCTTTATATTCCACATATGAATGAAATCACCTTGTATTTGTCTTTTGGAGATGTTGAAGTTAGAGTCAATGGACTTTATGAAAACATCTGATTTCTGGTGTGAGAAGAGTGAAGAAAAGTTCATTCAAGTTTTTGGTGTTAACTAGGAGGTAGAGTTGTCATTTACTGCCTTGGGGAAGCAGAAACAGATTTGGGAGCAAGAAGGTAGGAAGTTTACTGTTTGGAATTGTTGAGATTGCTGCTGAATATCCACATGGAGAGAATGCACAGACAATTGAACGGACAAATGAAGAGCACCTAGATTGAAGCTTGCTGGAGATAGACGATTTGTGCCAAAGTGGAGGCCCTGTGTCACTGCAGTGCATACAGGTCATGAAAGTAAAGGAACATAGGAAGGGAGAATGAGAAATTAAGGCCAATGAGGAAGAGGACAACCAGAAGAGCATGGTGTCCTGGAAAGTAAATTAAGTATTTCAAGAAGGAAGGAGAAATAAACTGGATAAGATGCTGCTGGTAGGGCAAGTAGGAAGATAAGAGGCCTTGACCGTTGGGTTCAGTAACATGCAGTCACTAATGACCTCAGTAAGACCCTGATTGGAGTGGGTTCCAGAAAGAGCAGGAATGGGAAGAGAAGAATTGGAGACATATAATAATAATATAATTATTCTTTTGAAGTGCTTTGCTATGAAAGGGAGTGAAGTAATAGGATGTTAACTCTAAGTGGATATGGAATCCAGAAGATTTTTTTTTTTGTTAACCATGACAGATATGATGACAGCATATTCATTTGCTGGTGGGAATCATCTAGTGATAGGGGAGGTGTTGATGAGAAAAGAGGAGAGGAATATTGCTGAATAGTTCTTGAAAAGGCATGAGGGGCTAAGATATGTTACATAAGTGAATGGTTTGTTCTTAGACAAGACCCCAGATGGTTTATCCATTGTACCAGAATGGAGATGGACCATGCATTCAATAATGCCAGTGGGATGTAGAAAATTTACTGCATCTGAATCATGCTTAAGTAGTTAGTGACCGCATTGTGGCTTTACAGTGGCCCAGTCCCCTGTGCTTGTGGAACTTAATAGCCCACAAAAACCTTTTCTTACCTATTGCTGTGGTCCTTTAAGAATCTCAGTGGACAGTTGGATAGTTTCATTTAAAAATTGCACATGGATGTTATTTTAATAAGCAACAAAGTTAAATTTAAGTGAATAATAGCTGGTAACTATTAAATCCTCCACATAATCTCACTTAAACCTCTCGCCAAACCTATGAGGTCAGAACTATTGCTAACCTCTAATTAACAATTAAGGAAACTGAGTTTAAGAGAAAATAACTTGTTCAAAGCCATACGATGATATATCTTGCTACTTTCTGACACTGTAGTTCATTCCTTAATCATAGAGTCTACAGAATTGTGCAAGTATCTGGGACTATAAAATGTGTTAATTTCTGAATGTAGTAAATTAACATTGAATATAATTTCATTGCTTATGCGATTGTAATCTGAGATTAAAATCTTTTGATGGCTTTGAGATTTACCTTTTTTTTTCTTACCCAACTACAGAGAATTTATGAGCCTTTTACAGAAATTTTTGAAGCTACACTAGAGGAAAAATTGATTGACTGGCTGTGGGTAGGCAGAACATCATCATTTTTGTGGTAGTCTTCCTGTATAAGTCATACCTTAAATTAGAAATTGTAAGATATTCCATTTGTTCTTAAGTGAATAGAGCATAGGAATATGGCCGCAGAGTAAAAATGGTCAGAATTGATATATTCCTTTGGTTCTTTGCTTCCTAACTGTCAGTCCTTCTAGGTCTGCTTTCTAATTTATAAGCTGTGGATCATATTACCTACCCACTATGATTATTGTGAGAACTGGAAATGATAAATGCTTGAGCACAAAGCACAGTGCCCACACTTACTGCTAATAAATGCCAGGTAACTGGGTAACTCCTTTGTCAGTTGCATGAACTATTATCAAGGGGGATGTAGCCCGAGGGGTTGCTAAGTGAGTCTTTTCCTTGGTTGCCTGAATTCTGGAAACTGGAAAATGACTCATACAGGGTTTAATTTCAGATATGTTTATTGTGTTTATATTTTAGGAATGATGTATTAGTAAGCATTAGAGAAGACAAAGCTCTATAGAAATACACCATCTTTATTTTGAATAAAATACAGACCATATTATCTGACAGTGGAAAAATGGAATTACCCCAGAAGATCTAGGGCATATGACCTACCTTAAGCATCAGGTTCTGGGAACCCTCTTGGGTATAGAAGAGCCTCCCTGCATTATTCTTGAATTTTCTAGTTCTCAAGTCACTTAATCCAGGTTCAGCGTATTGTCTAGACTTTGGTTATGTGTATTCCTTTTAGTGGAGATGGGAACTCCATACATTGAAATTAAACATTGCTTCTTCCTCTTTTCCTTGAACCTGTAACTGATGATTAGAGAAAGAGAAAACTGGCATTACTGATGCAGTCTCATGCTCGTGCACCTTGGGTAGTATGCCTTGTAAGTCACAGTATGTTACAGCATAGACAGAGCAAAACTTCTCTGGCTACCCTTAGTAATGCTAAACATATTAAACAAATCTTACTGACCCTGCAGCTTTAAAATCTTGTATAATATGATATTGGGAATATCAAATTGAGCAGAAAGAAAGGTCTCTATATTCAAGGAACTTATGGTTAATTAGAGCAGGTTTGCCAATCAACATCCAACAACTTGATTCCTACCTAATTGTGGAAACTCTCCTCCAGCACCCTGTTCCCATGACACTTGAGTTCTTCCCTTAAAATTTTGAGTTCTTTCTCTAAATCAGAGTTTATAAAAATATTCTTCATGGATTTGGTTAAAGGGAGGCCAGAGTTTTAAGTCTGTGCTTCCACTAATGCCTTGTATATATAGGTCCTTGACTATGAGACAGAGAACCCACAAAGCAGGGATTGTGCTGCTGCCTGTGTTGGAACCAGGCCTCACTTTCCCCTGCGATACCACAGTCTTCACTCCTTTGCCTGGTAAATATTTACAACAGTTACTTGCTCTATGCATTTAATAAGGATATATTTAAATATTTAAAGAAGGATACTTTGTTTAAATACACTAGTCACCATAAGTGGCATAATGATAACAAACATGTATGCAAAGAATTTTCAAGTTGTAGAATGCCTTCATCTATCCTTTGGTTCTATACACACTGTGGTATTTAAAAAGCAGGAGAATAATGAAAACATAATGATTCTCTAAGGATACTTTAAGAGGACAGGTTCTAGGTTCATTTACGGGTCTCATACTCTAAATAATTTATAGGATGACAAAACATGCAATTTCTTTCTTAAGATTTGTGAATCATAAATTTTTTTTCAGGGCACTTTAGCATACTACATACAGGACTAGTCTTAAATTAGAATCATGAAGGTGGGAGCCTTTTAATTTATATTTTCAGTTTTCTTTTTCATACTTGCTTTCTTCATTCCCCATTTCCCTTCTCTTTTCCTTTTCGAGTATCCACTATCCACCGTGTTCTGCCTTGAAAAATATTTCAATTAATGGAAAAATGGTTCATTCAGTATGTTATCTTTCCTAAGGATATTTGCATTTAGTAGACACAATAACTGCATTCAACTAAACAAAGGGAATTAAGTTTTTGTTTTTTTTTTTAAAGTTTGCCTTCCTCTTAACTCTATCCTTTTAAAAAAAGATTTATTTATACAAGAACTGGGGTATAGGCCAGAGGTGCAGGAGGGTGAGTGGATTTACCAGAGACAGAGTTGGGAGCAGAACAGGCAAACGGACCGAAGACACTGCTGAGGGGAGCAGCGGGAGAAGCAGGAGAGGTCTGCCACGCCATGTGATGTGGGATTCACCCTGGCCAGCCGGGAATCTAACCAGCACTGCGGAGGCTGCAGACAGCTTCAGAGCATGGCGCTCATCCTGCTGTGCCACTGGGGAGGCCCGGGAATTAAATTCTAATTGTGAAATTCAGTTTAACATGTAAATGGCCACCCATGTTGTAAGGTAGACTCCCAATACTTATTCATGTTCTAATGAGTATCTGTGCCATGTAAGGAACATGGTGCAAAATACCATATTCATTCTCTCTTGACTAACCACCAAATGAATTTTAACTTATAGATTGTTGTTTCTTCTTTTTCATCCATTCTCTTCATTTTCTGAAAATATCCTGTGATTTTTGGAGCATGGCATGATGTAGGAAAATCAATGTATGACTTTGGAGTGTGACTTGGCCTCATAGCTGAGTGTCACAGTTATTTGATTGTGGATACCTACCCCCTGATTCTCAGTTTCCTTACCTGTAAAATAAGATTATAGGGTTGTTGTGATGGAAAAAATGTGTATAAACTGTTGCACCATAAACGACAATGTATAAATTACAGATGTTTGGTAGATATTGTAATTTGTACACATTCTAGTAATCCTACAGGGAAAAATTGTTAAAAAATCAGGAAAAAATTATTCTACATAATAACAACTTTGTTAAAAGTTTGTAGCAGGTATTAGTGACAGCAATACTAAATTCATGGGGAGTATGTCTTGATTATAAGCAGGCTAGAAATGATTTATGGAAACTTAGTGCTTGTGTTCTTAAATGTATAAATGAGATATGAATATTGACATTGTAAAACTTTTAAAAATATATAAAATAAACCATTTAACACAGAGTTACTCAAGTGCATTTTAGAAATGATTTAAGTTTTCAAAATTCAATGCTTATGAGATAACTCAGAAATATATATGTCAGGCAAGTTGAGGTACAGTCTTGTGAGGTGGTCACTTTATGCCCGCATTGTGCCTCTTCTTGACAGGATTCTACAATTCTATTTTCTACCCTACAGATTTACCAATAAAGAGACAGAGAGAGTATGAGCTGGTGACTCCGGTCAGCACAAATCTAGAAGGACACTATCTCTCCCATATTCTTTCTGCAAATCACAAAAAGAGGTCAACAAGGGACGTGTCTTCCAACTCTGAGCAATTGTTTTTTAACATCACAGCATTTGGAAGAGATTTTCATCTGCGACTAAAACCCAACACTCAGTTAGTAGCTCCTGGGGCAGTTGTGGAATGGTGTGAGACATCTCTGGTGCCTGGGAATATAACCGACCCCATCGATGAACATCAACCAGGAGATGCTTCTGAAAGAATCTGGAAAACAGAGCCTTTGCAGACCAACTGTGCGTATGTTGGTGACATCATGGACATTCCAGGAACCTCCGTTGCCATTAGCAACTGTGATGGTCTGGTAAGACTTATTCCCTTTTGTGTGTGTGTGTTTGCAGGTGTTTGGGAATACAGCTTGACTTCAGCATGGTTTGGAAGGTAGAAGTAAAAAGGAAGCCTCATTATTTTTTAAGCTCAGAATGGAGCATTAGAAAACATTTTATTGTCAAAGATGTGTGCTTTGGCTTAATTTATGACATGAAGACAATATTATTCCAAGAAACCACAAAAACACTCTTTAGCATTTTTCACTTGTGTTATATTGGAGAATTTTACTTCCTTATTTCTTTCAACACATTCTGAAAACTTCCTAAAGAAATACAGATTCCTCCAAAATTACAGCCTTTCACTTCTTATATGGAAACTTTGTATATCTTCTTAAGGAAGATACTGTTTTACTTGCCCACAGAATGCTAAAATGGAAAATGAGCAGATCTTCCATCAGAATTTGCTTAAATAACAGTACTTTTTGAAGATAAAGTATAATCCTCTCTGTATCATGGTTTTGATTAGTTTATTTTCTAATAAAATACCTATCTTTAATTTTTTGTGGTAAGACCATTGGTAACTAAGCTTTCTTTCTGCAATGCCGATGTGAAATACTTCTATTTGTTGTGTATTTCCAGATGCTATTTGCAATGTGTTGATGTTTATGCCTCTTCCATTGACAGCTAACGCCATTTTTGCTCAAAAAAGAGAAAGTATTTTTCTTACTATAGTTGCCAGGCTGTTGCTTTATGGGAGTTCAAGTCTATTCCCTTTGTTTTGTCTCTACTTCTGAGAGTACTCTAAATATTCCTTATAGTTCTGCTTAGAATTACTCCACTCTGGTTGTTCCTCCAGTGAGACATTGAATCTTCTGCTGTTGTCCTCTCTATGTATAAGGTCATCTCGAAGGACTTAGGATACCATATGTCTTACCAAATGCTGTTGTGCTCATTGTTTTAGACTTTATTTGTGCAGTCTGGCACTGCTTCTTGATGTTCTGTAGAATTTTAAAAGGCAGCACAAAAAACTGAATAGAATTCATTTAGCAGGTCAAAGCCTCCAATTTGAACTCCATTAGTTTAGGATCCATACCCTCACATTTGGTGCTGGGTTATGTTTTGGGATTTAAGGAATAAGGAATATCTCAAATTCTCATTCTGCCTCCAGGTTGAATAGATTCAAATTAACTCATTGACTATAAAAAATAAAAAAGAACACTTTTTAGAAGACTCCTTAAGATATTCACTGAGAATACTTGATTTAATACAAAGATATAAAAGGAAAAATTATATCAAAGATGCTACTTTATAATACTTTTAAATAAAATTGCTAAGTATAAAGCTTAATTCACTGTTATTTTGTAATTTTATAGCATAAGAATGTTATACATTTTTAATCTTCTCAGTTAAGATTTCAACCTGGAATTGGCTTGAAAATCAGTTTAGGGAAGACGAAAAACAAGGAAATAATTTTTATGGATTATCATGGTGATTTTTAAACCTAACATAGTAATAGTATTTTTCTTACTGTATATAACAAATTTTCTAATAAATACAGAAATCTGGGGCAATAGCAAGTTATTGTAAAGAAGAATAAAATAGATTTAAAACGTGATGAACATTAGTTATTAGATTGTTTAATTATTCATTTTTATATTAGCTATTGACATGGGTATGCTTGTTGGGTGTGTTTGCATGTATATGTGTATATTACACTACCAGTGTGTTCTACATGTATTCATTTGTTCTATCCTTTGATCAGTTGATCAATTAATTAAAATATATCTGTAGGAAACCAGTTATGGGTCAAGCATTCTTCCAGACACTGTGAAATGGTGAAAAGATAATCTTGATTACCATTCTGATGGAGCTCAAAGATGATAAAATATGCCATAGAATTTAAGTATCAAAATATCTGACAAATACATACATACATGCATATAGACATACATATATATGAGTGTGTGTGTGTGTGTGTTTGTTAGTACCATGTTTAATTTAGAGTTGTGGTTAAGGGAAGTAGCTTCTGGAGAGATTTTCTGATGGGACAGAATTTTGAACCAGAGATTAGTGGTCCGGGTCTTCAGCTTGATCTTCAGAAGGTAGGTGTGCTTATAGCAGCAGTGCTGTCTATGTTGCCATGAAAAATAGAAAACTTTTCTAGAATTTCCAGTTATCAGCACTTATGCTCCAGCAGGAAGCTGGCAGGAAGATGATGATGGAAGGAAGAGAAACAGGGTTATGGGATTTCAACCAACTGGAGGGATAAATGCCAACATCTTTTTCATTAAGATAGGGACAAATTCTTAAAATTGCAGAATTGCAGAAATGAAGTTGGAATTTAATTGATGAGAATATAAATACCTTTGACTGATCAACTGATCCTTAAGTCCTTTTTGTTCCTTTAACTTGTCATGTAGGGATTTAAACTTTACCTTCTTGACTTTACTAACAGAAGTAGAACTACTGAGATAACACAGATGTTGAAGGGTTAACTTGATGAGATATAAAATCATGCCCTGGGAGACTTTGGGATTATAATAAGATCCAAGTTAAGGGAGTAGAAATTACAGTCACTGCTGGCTTTGAAAATACCAATGGGGAAATCTCTACCAGCAAGTTATATCTCCTAATATGGAAGAGAATACCATTGATGACCAACTTGAATGGTAGGTAAAATACTTACGATTAGGTTAATTTTAGACTGACATAGAAGGGATACCAGGAATCCCACTCTACCTGTGTCCTTTGAGGCTTTTGCACATAGAGAACAGCTACAGTTACTTATTTTTCACTAAGGTTTGGATGTTCATAGCAGGGCCTTCTCCCTGAGTGAATTCTTACTTCTTTTTTCTCTTATCCTGTCTTATAGCTTACTGTAGGAGTTTGAAATGGGGAACACGCTCAGACAGAGTTAAATTTGTGTTAAGCGGGATGTCTTAATTCAAAAACCAGTACTACTGTGTGTCCACAGACTCAGGTGTGTGACCAGATCAATACAGAAAGTGAGACCTAGTATATAGAACTTATGTAGCAATTTTTAATTGTGTTGCATCTAATAATAATTTTTAAAAATGGGCTGGTGTTTTGTGGCTTGATTTTTCATTTTTTGATTGGATTTTTATTATATTCACAAAAATATAATTCTGAGACTATTTCAGGAGCAATGATACTGTTTCTTCACTACAGAGATATTGAGAAGCAAGCAGTTGATGCTTAGTTATTTTCACCTCTGGACATTAGAAACTAGACTGAAATGGTCAGGTAGAAGCATGAAAGGAATAATTGCAGGGAAGGTATTTTTAATTTAAAATCTTGATTAGAGGCAAAATGAAGTCAGGGTCATCATGGCAATGGGAAGAACAGGAAGCATTACTTCCTAGGTCCACAGTGAAAGAAAAAGTGCCTCCCCTTTTATTTGCTATTTTCCTGTGTCTGTCCTAAGAACTATTTGCAATGTCATATTTACATTTTTCCCAACTTAAACTCATTTTAAGCTTAACTTAAGAAAATTACTATATAGTTATTAAAAAAAACAGAAAAATCTTTGAGTGATGTATGCTGAGTCATGATCTTGAATGTGACAAAGACATCTATGTGCATGGTAGCTAAAATATTCTGTGGGTTTCTGTAATCATCATCAAAATCTTATGCATGAAATAATTCTTGCAAGACAAAGATTCTTATGCAGTGTGATCAAAAAACAGTATCTGTTTCCATTTAGTATATCAAGAACAGTATCTGTTTCCATTTTTGAGTGACTGATAATTCCTTACCAACTACAACTTTATTCCTGCTCTGGTTTACCCTACATATGTACTGTTACTTAGGTAAAGATTTTGAGATTATTATTATTATTTTTTTAAGATTTATTTATACAAGCACTGGGTACAGTCAGAAGCGCGGGAGGGTGAGAGAATTCCCCAGAGTCAGAGCGGGGAGTAGAACAGGCAGGCTGACGAAATACGCTGCTGAGGGGAGCAGCGACCGCGGCAGGAGAGGTCTGTGTGCCATGTGGGACCCTCGCCAGTGGCTGGGGATTGAACCAGTGCTGCAGAGGCTACGGGCAGCTTCACAGCCCAGTGCTCAACCACTGCGCCACCAGGGGAGGCCCAAAATACTGAGATATTTAACCATAGGATTGTCTCTACCTTCTGAGAGTTTCCAATCTAGAACAAAGCCCTGCTTTCTAGAACCTTCTCAAATTACCAGCCTAAACCCAAATCCTGTTAGTAGGTTCTTTCTAACACTCTCGTCCCAAGATGTTCAGGATTCCTCTGTTGTGCATTCTCCCACCCACAGATGCTCCTTGTGGGCTCTCTCTGGAGGGTACTAACATGCTTTACTTCTCTGCTGTGACACCTCTTGAGTATCAGAGGTTTTCATAATCAGTGGTCAGGAGTTATGGTGATGGCAGGCATTTCACACACTTCATAGTGAGAAGACACTTCTGACTGAGAATCCGAGATGAAAGTAGATTATTTTTGTGGAGCCTCTGGCATTTGCACTACTACACCCTTAAATTTGTCCTGGGAAAAGTGGTAGCTCACAGTCATATTTTGTGGTCTACAAATTTGCCAAAATAAAAGATTGTTGGGTTAGTAGGGTTTATATCATGCATTTCATAACACAGGGAAACTGGATTTTTTTCTGGATTTGCTCGAATCAGTATATTGTCATCAGAGGGACCTATTTGGGAGTGGAAGAACTGACTAATAAGGGTTCTCATGAGTTATCCAGTTCAGAGATTTCCTTGTCAGGTGATAACATTTGGCATTCCTTCAAATGAAATCACTAGGGGTTGCCTAGTAAATAATTGTAAAATTGTTAAACTCAGGAAAGACTTGGTTAAATCACAGGTGGTAGTTGCTCTTTCTTTTGCCTTGTTCTTAGTACAGATGCATTTGGGCTGCTGAGGCACCTTACAGAGCAGGGGTTCTTGGAAGCTTGAGGTTAGCACTTTAGGAACCGTAAACAGAAACTTCTTTCTAAAATATCTGATAGTACATGTGAGTAGTGTTGGAGGCATTGCATC